GGAAAAAATCGTATTATATTGTGACTGACCTTGGAGTTCACAGTACCTTGAAGTGACTTGAATTGATTGATTTTATCAGTGAAATTGTCAAAAAATAACGTTTTTTATTGAAAATAATTAATTTTTGATGAATAAACAGTTATTCAATTGTTTGATTGTCATTTTAGATTATGAAAGTAATCTTCGGTTGTTTGCGTGGTATTTGTATGGGACGAATGTTATTTTCAATTAGTGAACTATCCACTGATTTGAGACTGCGGAAAGCTTCAATCTGATCTGTAGACACTTTAATTGGTTGGCGATAGATGATCCAGGTGACCGATTCATAATATGGTGGCGTTGTCAATGATCCGCGATATGTGAAATAATTTTCATCCAAATCTTGAGATTCCATCCATTTTAAACTGTCTGAAATTTGTACATTTATTTGAGTTAATAGTTTGCTTTATGAATTTTATAAATATTACCGGAGCTAATGGAAAATTTGGAATGAACTTCAGTAATTTTTCCAAGAAAATTGCTTATTTTTGCAAATTCGGGATTCGTTTTATTTCCAGTAGCATCAAAGAAGAAAGTAACTACAACCAAACCGTCTTTTTCCTTCGACGCCTCATTAAAATTGCTATATTTCGAGTTGTAATGAACCAAATGTCCTTCCATTGAATACCTAGAACCAAATTTATTTTTTAGTTTTCTTTACATTTTTAAAGAAAAAGAAAACTCACGATTTTCCATCGATTTTATGCTCTGAACCCATCTCATTATTTTCACCCCAATGAAAATGAATTTGTTCAAAAATGTAACGACCACCATGATCGAAAAGACCACCGGTTAAGATGTATGGTTGTTTGTCGCGACCTTCAAATTTTATTTCTGCTGATTTTCCGGTATTTTCAATGTAAGCCTCTCCCTCTCGATTCCAATGACCGAAAAATCGCAATGGTACCAAATGTTTTGCTATTTTCACATCGTTCATCCTGAGATCGATTGGTGATTGAAACTTTTTCGAATAGGAAGAGAAGTGTTAAAACCCGATATGAGAATACGCTCTAGCCAGAGGAACTATCTTACCGAACAAACTACGAATTTCCCATATTTGTCATAATCGTTTGAAAGAACACCACTGTTCGTATGAGATTCTATGTCAGATTCATTTTCTTCACTTCCATTGTTCCCCTACATTTTAAAAGGTGTCTAATTTATCGAAATTCTCTTCAAATCATGTCTAAGTAGTCGGCTACTTACCAAATGGACATTTTCATTTAATTCAACTTGTATTGAAATCAGCGCAAATATCACTGAAAAGAGTCAATTGAGTTTTTAGAGTTTTTTTTACAATATTTTCAATTGATCACTCAACGTGAAACACATACCGAAATAAATGAGAAAACTTTTCAAATTCATTTTCTCTTCTTTCTTCTTTATCTAGTTCCGTAAACTTTGTTAAAAGATAAATTTGCTGTGGAAAACTAAGAGTGCAAAGAAACGATGCACAGAGAAGTTAATTATTCAAAACAAATACAGAACTTCGACTGTTTCGTACCGAAAATGTCACTTTTGAATCGACGATAATGATTACAAACTGTACTTTAAAATATTTGGAATAGGTTCCTAAACAAACCAATTTCGATCCAAACTTAGTTTTGAAACTGATTTGAAGAAATGTTCAGCATAAAACAGAGTTGAAATCGATTGAAGAAAGAGAATAAAGAAAGCAGTTTAAATAGTGGTGCTGAATGAAAACGTGAACAGATAATATTTTTATTATACGGTCGTTATCAAGACAGTAAAGCGAGTTTTAATGTATATTGCCGAAATGATACAGATTTCGTTATATAATACATATAATTTATATTATATTGTCAGTATTAGTTGCATTGGCGTTGATTGTTTAATGAATATTTAAAATTCGCTCTGTATGAGATATTTAATAACTTAAATTCATTGACACCCCTAAAGTAAACATTCGAAACGAGGTTTATTAATCGTCATGATTCTGAATTCACCACTTAACCAAAAGTATTCAGTCCAAATGGGACGGTCCATACATGGGCACGGAAAAAATTCAAGGGGGGATCCATCTGCCAATCAAAAACCATAGCCAATTGCAAGAATTTCTCTTTCGAAAAACCTTAGGAAACAGAGGTTTTTTCTTCTTTTTTTTTATCTTTTTATTTGGCGAAAATTCTTAGCAAATCGAAAGAATTTTTCTTCAAAACCCCTAACAAATTCAAAGTTATCCTGCTCATCTCTCAATTTGAAAAGCAAAAAAAAAAGACTTCACTTTCGCCTGAAAAATCCCTAGCAAATCGAAAGATTCATCGACTGCCGCCTAGGGGAGATTAGCTCGATTTAAAGGAGGGTTATCCGTGCCCATGTATGGGACAGTCTCTCTTTGAGCTCTCTGATCTCATTTTTGCAATAAAGAGGCAAGCTAACTTTGCCACATGGAGACCGAAATTTTGTTAATAAACTGCCTATGGTCTATGTATGTTTGTAGTAATCTAATCACCGTAAAAGCTTGTGAATTTTATTTTCTTATTTCGGTTTCCATGCGAATAATTTAGCTTGCGTACGTTAACCTCTTTTTATAATGCCTTTTACCAGCTAGTTTATGATGATTGGTTTGTTTTATTCCCGAAAATCCCCGTGGTTTCTTTAATGCTTTCGAATTATAAATATTTTATGTATTGTCATTAGTCAAATATGTACTTTGTATTACAACAATTCGCAATTGTATCCTAAGTAGTAAAACAATTTTATGTTCATAAAAATTCATCACATTGTTCAAAAGAAATATCCAAAGGTGAAATCTTTCACGAATTGATGATGTATCACTGATTATTGTTTAACGCAGAGCAGAATTTGAAACAATCGCGTCAATAATCAATAATACTTTATGTAACTGGTTACCAAGGCTTGGTATATGCCAAAATAAGCACTTTTGCAGAGAAAAAAATGATTTTATCGAAAAAAAAAGTCTGTATAGTATTTATTGGGCTAGTTTAAAAAAGAATTTTGTCTGACTTTTCTAGTCCCTTAAGCAGAATCTTAAACTTCTGATCCTATAAATATGTTCTGCATCGAATTTCCACAGATATATCGCCAAAAAAACATCAGAAACAGACAAAAAAGCTGAAAAATTCAATTTATAAAATCATATAATAATTAAAATTCATTTGGGTTCAGTTTATTTACAAAATTTCAGTTTCCATGCGAAAAATTTATCTTGTAAGCCTCTTTATGCGCGATTGTTTTATAATGCCTTTTATTATCTAGTTTGTATTATCATTATTAGTTTGTTTTATTTCCGAAAATACCGATGGTTTCTTCAATACTTTCGAATTGTAAATAAGTACATAAAACACTTCTTTCGAAGTTCCAATTGTGACACAGTACTGAAAATGTGAAAATGTTCTGATATAAATTTTCGGTGACGCGTTCGTTCATATAAATATTTAATGTTGCCCAGAGTATCATTATTTGCTGCTGCTCAGCATATGACTGAGAGCTGAGTAATGCTGAACTCGTACGGCTAACGCATACGAAACGGATGCACGATACATATTCCCCTTTCGCTTCGTATGTGCTGCCGTTGACGCTATTGCCGCTACTGTTACAACGTCTTTTATATTTACACAAATTGTACGACGAATCTAACAAACGTGCTCTGAAAGAATACGTTTGTCAGAAAGAATGTTTAAAATTCTATTTATAATTATTTTTTTATTGGGTTTTTATAATAAATTTTTATTGAGTTTGTTGAAAACAGTAGGCGAATATTTGTTTTGGGTTTTCGTTTTGAATTTAAAAACAAATATCCATTTTATTAC